CACTTACAATACCTTATTTTTTATTTTATTTATTTTTTACGCCTACAGCACCTGGTCTTCCTATGTGGTTTTTCATCCAAGTACTAACCAGGCCCGACTCTGCTTAGCTTCCAAGATCAGATGGGATTGGGCACGTTCAGGGTGGCATCTTCACATCTTTCTAATTCTATGTTTATATTTTTCAACAGTGATTCTTGCTAACCATAAACAAGGACATTTCTAAGTCTTCAAAGTGACTAATGCTCCTACTTCATGTTTCTAAAGGCGACTACGCAGAGAAGTGTAAATTCATGGACCCATCGTGATTCTTTGTAGTGATGGAGTGGTAAATGGGAAAGGCTATAAACCAGAGTATCAAACTTCTTTTGGGGGATAGGTTTGACTATTACACAAACGTTTTCAGATTTTTTAGCATAAGAAGCGGAAGGAGGTGGTTGATTCAGAATGGAAAAGTAACAGGCAACTCAGAGAAACACTCACCCTCTGCTTTTGCTCTTCTGTGCGGACATCACTCCGGACATTTGCCCATGGGATATCTTCAGGCCACCAGATGGGCTTGCAGCTTTCTTTTCCCCAGCCTGGTTTTCCCCGACCTGTGGAATACTTGAGCATCTCTGGAATAAATGCCCGAAGCTGGGCCTGGAAGACAAGTGTGGTCAGCAGCCATGACAGATGTCTAGGATCTGTTTTGTGTCTCCCGCCAAATTCTAAGGTTTTCGCACAGAGAGCCCTCCTGGAGGGCCCCGGAGAGTTCCAAAATATAACTGATAAGAACCCATTGTTTTCCATACATTACTAAGAGCTCCATGAGTGACTGAGAATTACACATATGTTGATAAAGTAAACTTTAAGCTGTATTTCATAGCTTTGTTCCTATGAGATCAAGAACACCTGCCCCCAAGTTTGATTTCTGCCTCCTAAGATATTACTGATGCTGTAGGTTATTTCCCCTCTACAGCTTCTACACATTTAAGGTATTAAACAAAGTCACTGCATTTTCAACATTATTCTGCAGATAGTAACCAGGGCTATTAGACTAGAGAGAAATAAGAGTCGAGGAATAGGTAAGTCATCCTTATTTGTAAATGACATGACTGTGTGTCTGGAAAACCCAAGAATCAAATAAAAAAAAATACTATAAAAATAAAAGAATTCAGTAAGATGGTCGGTTACAAAATACATGAAAATAGCCTTTACTTAATAAAAAGTGAAAATAACCCTAAAACTCTTCTAGAAAGTTTCAAGTAAGTAGAGCCAATGTATATGAGTCTGACATATAGTGAAGCATGTATGACATCATGGACTTCGTTCAGGTTTCTTTTACAATCGAATCCAGACCAAACAGGTGTTAAACCACAAAGACAATTGCTATGTTTCATCTCCTGGCACAGTAACTACACTGTGTTTATGCTGAAGGAAAATGGGAAACTATTTTTTGAATATTCTTACTTGCTGACAGTGATTTTTGGCAAGAGAAGCAGTTTATCAAGTTATAATCTTTCTCCCTAGACCTACTGCTTTCTTTGTAAGCTGGTGGTCTACAGCACTGCAGATAGAAGCCGTATCCTTCAGCTAAGGGCACATCTATGCTTACTCTATAGCTTAAGATTGAAAGGAGAGGACAATTTTAGCAGTGAGTCAGACCCAAGGACATGGGCTTAAGGCTGTAAAACAGAAAAGGAAAAAAAAAAACAGAAAGGGAAATACTAAAGTATTAATGAGAGATGAGTGCAGCCACACTTTTATATTGAAGAGTCTATTTAAATATCAGGTGTTCTTATTTAAATATTACTTTACCAGATGATAATACAAATTATTACATAATAGGGAATTGTGAACCCCAAGCAGTAATGTTTACCGAATAAAGCAAGCTACGGTTGACAGTATTTACACTGGTAATTCTTGTGCCGAGCCTGCCATTTTCCCCTAAGTATCCCCTCTCCCAGACAGTCTCCTGCCTACAGGATATGATATAATACACTCCGTATATATTTGGCTCTGCAGCATCAAGCAGCAGGCTAATAGAAACGTATCCATTTGCAAACTCAGGCTATCAGCTGGCTCATGAGGTCACTCCTTCAGTTATTTTAAGTAAGTGCATCTCAAAGTCATTCTTCCCTTTTTCCTGGCTTCCTGAGAGTGTATCTTTTTCAACCTCGGATACATGGAGAAGGAAAAGGCTTAATCCTCACACACAATATTTACATTTCTTCAAATATAAAAAAAAAAAATGGCTTTCTCAGATGTGTAAACAAATTAACTGATAGCACAGACTTTTATAAGTCTCCCTTCTCTTTTAATCCCATTAACAGCCTCCAAAAGGAGAGTTCTTTATATTTGTACCTAATAGAGTCTGGAGATAATAAACTAAGGCGGCTAAATATCTTTAAATTAACAAAAAGACTAAAGTGTCCAGAAAGAACTTGCTGCTGAGAATACTTGGCTGACAGAGACTGCTCAAATTCTACCTGGAATTCCAATATTCTCTAATTCTCATGCTTTTCTCGGCTCTGATCCTCCACTCATTTGCACCAATAGCTTCTCATGCTCCTCAGTTCTGGGTCACCCTGGCACCTGGCTATGGACACCTTTCATCTTCAATCTTGCTTTGGCTCTCTCACACCAGGCTTTCCCCCGGGTTTCAAGAACTTGGTTACTTGAAGTGTGGGCACGGCACCGGCCTACTACTTAAAACTCTCCTCTCCTCTCTCTCCAACTACTTCTCTTCTCAATATCTTCGTTTTTGCCAGTAGAACCCCACCTCCTTTCCCAGACACCCAAGCTCAAAACTTCAGCTTTACCTCTTTCCTGTAACACCCATCTAGCCACTTTCCAAGTTCAATTCCTTCTTCTCTGAAAGCTCTGTGATATCCATCCCTTTTTCTCCAGTACCAGCTTCATCCCCACTTCCTAACCCAAGGCTAGTGTATCCTTCTAGTTGGCTTTCTTATTAACACCAAGTTCTCTCCTCTCTTCCTTATCCCACATATCCTCAACAGACAGGGTCTCTAAATGTTACATAGCTCCAGTGCTCAAAACCCTTCAAACGGCCTTTCACTATTAACAACTAAACTGAACTCTTCTGTCCAGCTTTTCTGGCCTGCCACAATTTGGCCTCTCACTAACTGCAGTACCTACTAATTCCCACCAGGCAGCCTTGGTCCTCATTCTGCTCTG